AGGGCCCTTTCCTTCTGCTTTCTCCAGTGCCAAAGTCTCCCTCGAGTGCTGAGTGATGGGACATCTCCCAGAGCAGCACCCAGGGATGGGGCCCCCATCCTGTCTTGTCGGTGTGTTCAGGAAGCAGCCTCCAAGGAGCCACATAGCATGGATGAGGGTGCCAGGCACAGTAAGTTTACCATGTAGACATGGCCTGACAACTTTGTAAGAGGTCTACAGCACTTCACAGGATTAGGCCCTTCTTTCATTAACAGCATGGAGAAGGACCAGGTGCCACCACTGTGGAGATATAATCATTCAGTGATGTTGGATTTTGAAGAAGAACCTGTCTTTTTGCAGGATGCTTTTCTCATCTGTGTAAGCTAAAAAAAATCTGCAACATGCACAAGCTATCAGGTATCAAGAATGAAAGATGACACAAAAGCAACAGCATTGTCATCTTAATGAGCAACAGGGACTGGCTGATTACCTACCTAGGAGCTGCTTAATTTAAGAGCAATTACATATTCCCAGTTTGCCTTGTTGGTGTCATATAGCTATGTTCATCTGGGGAGGCAATTACTTAACCTTTTACCTTATGACTCACATTGTACATAAAGCATGACTGGCATACATGACGTCATAATTACACACTCCTTGTACATCACTCCTTGCACATATCATCCTACCTTATAGAAATGAACACATGATCAAAGAAATAGGTACAGTAATACACGTGAGCATTATTATCAAGAGAATACATATTTGGCTGCCAAATATGTATGAAAAATTTGTCCCTGACAGATCAAACTCATTTCCTGCACTGCAGTGAATGTTTATTACTCAGAAGCTGTTGCATAACAGAGCAGTTGTATAGCTGTTTTTGCTTCAAAACCAATTTTTAGTATTAGAAAATTTCAGGTAATATGATACTTGATTTGTGTGGAATCTAAGAAACAGCCAACTTCATTATAAATACATGCCACTGGACTTAGGTCTGGAACCAACTCCCATTGAAGCAGTGGGCATCTTTCAATTGACTTGAATGGAAACTGGGTTGAGCTCGGAAGCTTTAGTGGTGATATCTACCTAGGCCTCTATCCATAATGTCCTGTTTGTATTTATGTCCCAGTATTGCAACTTCTTCTTGTGTTGCTGAGCTCATACTCATAAGAGTAGTCCCACTGAAGCTGATGTAACTACATGTGTCAGAAAGGGCTGACCAGGTTTTGCTTTTAGTTTTGCTATCACAGTCCTTTTCCAGAAAGAACAGTGTCTTTCAGAACAGCCGGCAAATGTGGAAAAGTTCCCTGACCCCCTGATTTTTTATTTTGATCCTTAATTAACTTTGTAGTAGACACTGTACAACAAGAAAGAGATAATTCACACCCAGAGGAACAGTTAAGTTTAATGGAAAATAAAGAATGGTGTTACAATCTATTATAAAATGTTTTAGCTAATATGTCCAGCTCTTCATTTTATTTATAATTATTTGAACCTTGATCTTATTAATTCAAAGTGAAGATGAGCACACTACAATCATGTGAACTAGTATAATCGTTTGAAAACCAGCAGCATTTCAGACTCTTCTGTAAGCCAAGCTACCTGTAGTAGTAAAGGCAAGTAGGAAAATGGGGCCCAATATTCTGCTGGTCTGGGGTCAGGTGGTGAATGGTGTTTATGTACTTTGAGATGAAATTTTAGTAAGTTGTGGCACATAAGTAGCATTATTTAAGGACTTGGCTTTTGGGGGAGGGTATCTGCAAATGCTTTGCAGATGAAGACAAATGACCCCTGATCAAACACTTCTCCCATTACAAGATCATGTATTTTGAGATAAAGTTCAGTACTAACTAAGGGTCTAACCCCACTCTCACTGAATTCAGTGGAAGCAGGATCAAGCTCTAGTGAGGCAAAAGCTCCCTTTGCACTCAGTCGAGTCTGGTTCTGCCACTCTCATGTTCTTTGAGTGGTCCCCTCTTCCAAAAATCATAGAATTATAGAAAATTAGGGTTGGAAGTGATCTCAGGAGGTCATCTAATCTAACCCCCTTCTCAAAGCAGGACCGCCCCCAACTAGATCATTCCAGCCAAGGCTTTGTCTAGCAGATCTTAAAAACCTCCAGTGATGGAGCTTCCAAAACCTCTCTGGGTAACCTGCTCCTTCTGTGAAAGTTTTTCCTAATATCTAATGTAAACTTCCCTTGATGCAACTTGAGACTTTTTCTCTTTGTTCTGTTATCTGCCACCACCAGGAACAGTCCAGCTCCACCCTCTTTTAAACACCACCCCCTAAAGGTAGTTGAAGGCTGCTATTAAATCCCTCTCAGTCTCCTCTTCTGCAGACTAAATAAGACCAAGTCCCTCAGCCTCTCCTCAGAAGTCATGTGCCCCAGCCCCCTAACCATCAAAGGTCATCTCAAATCTTGGTGACCCACTGGCTCAGGATAGCTAAAGCTGCCTTCAGCCTGAATCACGAAGTCCCATTTACAGCTGGGCCCATTTGGATCAGCTATCAGTGTGCAATGCTCAATTTAACAGCTGCAGATCTACAGCAAGATGCCTTAACTGCTCTGCCACCACACAGCCTATTCCAGGGATGGGCAATTATTTCTGGGGTGGAGGGCCGCTTACCCAGTTTTGGCAAGCTGTCGAGGGCTGCATGGGTAGCCCTTCCCCTTGACAGGTGCCCTGCTCCCTGGCTGCCATCTTGTGACTGGAAGTCCCACCCCCTAACCCCTGACCGTTGCCACCTCTTGCCCCCAGAAACACTCCTTTCAGCAAGGGGTTTTGCCATCTCTGAACCAGAAAAATACCAAATTCTATTCTAAAAAGTGAACATCTACATCATTCATTAATTTGATTTGAAAGAACATCTTTTTGTCCTGATTTACATGTGTTTGTGTAGTGTATATGGAGGTGATTACACAATAGCTTAAAATGAAATCTTACTCTTGTATGTTGTGCTGGGTGAGTATAGGTTTGTGGGGGGTGGGTTGTGGGTGTGTCTGTGGGGGTGGATAGGTGTGGGGTGAGGGAGCATGTGGGTGTGTGCAGATATGTGGGATGTGGGTGGGTATGGGGTTTGTGGGGGACTGTGTGTGGGGGAGGGTGGCTAGGGTGTGTGAAGGGGTATGGGTGTGGGGTTGTGCCTGTATGGCAATGCGAGGGGGTGTGGGTGCATGTGTATGGTGTGGTGTGCATGTGCGGCTCACCCTACAAACATACACACACACACACACACACACACACACAGACTCTGCCCCTACACACACACATACAGATACACACTATCCCTTCCTACTCCCCACCCCTGCTCCTGGCCCCAGGGTACCAGTGCGGCCCCGTGATCCTGGTCCAGTGATGCAGCCAGGAACCATGTGGTGCTGGAGCTGTACTGGGCAGGAAGGCAGGTAAATAGCTGGGGGTGGGTAGGGTTGGCTGGTCAGTCCTGCTAAGGCTTCCCCTGGGTCCTACTGCCCCAGGCTCCTGTCATCTTTGACAGGAAGCCAGAAGCAAATAAATATTAAGTTACTACTTTTTTATGTGCCCCGTGGGCCAGATGGAATGGCCTGGCAGGTTGAATCTGGCCCGTGGGCCGTATTTTGCCCACCCCTGGCCTATTCTATCAGTAACCCCAATGGAAACAGTGCAGCTACTTGTGGCATGAGGTGCTGATCAGTATGTCAGAATCAGGCTCTTTGTGGTCCACAGACTTTCAGTCCAGAATCAGTAAAAGGAGCTGTAGCTCAGCAGTCTGCCTTGCTTAATGTGAAAAAGACTGACAGTTACCAGACCCAGATTTGTGTGTCACTGATTTCCATGGCAACCCTACCTGGTAAAATAATGACGTTTGTAAAAGTGCATCCTGCAAGCCCTCTTATCAGCATCCAGTCAAGCTAACAGTCTGCAAGAAGTGCTAGTATTGCTGGAGCTGCTCTGCAGCTTAAAAATATTCATGGACATAGAGAGCAAAGAGCTTCAATTAGGAGACCAGCACATAAAACACCCCTGGGCCTTACGTTATTTTACTACAGGCCAGACAGGCGTGAGTCATGGTGTGTAGTGCAAGCCACATAACAGTAAAAAAGTCATCTCCCCCAGTTAAATAAATGAGCACATAATGTCCGAAGGCTTTAAAGTGATTAGTGGATAGCACTGAGGAAAATGCACCGGCATCACCACTCCATGCTGAACCCCAGTAGGCAACCAGGAGACTGCATGAGTCTTCCAAGTTTCAAATGTTTTCCTGTTGTTCAGGTAAACTTTGCAAAGGGATGTAGTTGTAAGAACAGCACTTAGATTACCCTTCTCATCAGCCTATCTTCATAGGCAGGGTTGGGTGATGTCACCAGCTGGCTGCCCTCTGGGTAATCACGTGGAGTGGGCCTGGGTAATTTGCAGCTTCAGAGGAGCTGAAAGACAAAAGGGGAATGTTTACAAACTGTGATATGTCAAATGACTAGCCTTGTTATTTGGGACATGCACCATATGATTCTAAAGATCATGGGCCTGATTTGCCCCCTAACTTGTGCCAGCATAAATCAGGAGCAGTTCCAGCATGCACAGTGGATTCACGTCACTATGACATGGAGGGAAGGGAGAAGAGAATCAGGCTTTTTCTGAGCAGCTGACAGGATAACCTTTACTTCTACAGACTATACATAGTCTGTAAACCACGGTCGGTTTTCCAGTTGAAAATGAACATTTAGGGCGTAAATAAAGATACAAAACGAAAATGCCATAGGGACCTATTTGTCTCAATGTTCAGAATCAGGGGCCTAATACTAACTAAACATTCCAACGTAGGCAGCTGTTTGTCCTGTGTAACCCCCTGTTTAGATCAAAGGGTGAGTAAAGCTCATGGAACTGGAGATTTCATGAACATTTTATATTATTGGGGAAGGAGGGGGATTGAAGTGTCTGTAGCAGCAGTGTAACTGAGGCAGAGTGACCATGGCAGTAGCCCCAAGTACTGCCAGTGCAGGGAGGGAAATAGGGAATACAAAAATAGCTACTGCCAGCTGCCATGAGTGCCAGTGCTGTCCTGTGCATCACAACAGCTCTGGATGAGGGGCTGCCCTGCTACACCTGTGGTCTATAGAAATAGGGGCTGAGCCTACCTGCTGTGAGTACCCTGTGTCTTGTGTAGAAAACATGCTATACGCATTCAAGTTCTAGTCTAGTAATCCCAGTATTTCATAGGAGTGGGCCATTAGTTTTCTTGGAGGTGCAGCATATGGAACTTTTATGCAAAACTATATGGAACAAACAAGACAGAAAAACCTGAAGGGCCTGTACTTTAGTTTCAGGACTGCGTTTCCACCAGTTAAGTACTGCAGATTCCTTAATTACCATGCCAGTTCAGGTGCTCAGCCTCTTCCAGTAGATGCCAAACCATTCTTAGCACTGGGCACTTAATTTTATGGAATTTAAATAATTATTTGAATAAATGTTGCTCTATTTAGTTTTACTTATTTACTTCTTTTAGCTAGATATGTTGTGAACAAACAATGTTGAGGGTGTCCCAGGTTTGATTGGAAGAATCATCACATTTGGAGTAATTACACTATTATTTTTCCTCTGAACCTCTGTGAGTAACACGTTGTTGTTTGTTTTGAACCTGTTATTGTTCACACAAAACACACTCAGAAAGAAAAGGTCAAATGTAAACAAGTTGTTTCTGATTTAATTTTGATGGAAGCTTTAAAAAAGGAAAAACAAAAACAGGAGCAGTTCTGAGTGTCATTCTGCTATTAATCGCAGTTGGTCAAATTTTGTTGTCTACTGGGAGTTTTGCTTAAAAGCGATATAAAAAAGAGCTGCAAATATTTGGCTTAGTGCTGTTTATTTTAAAGGCAATGCATCCTTTTTCCTTTGTGTGTTTTCAGCTTCACTCCCAAAAAATGGACATTGATGTTTCTAGTTTTATTCTTGTCTTTCATGATATCTCTAATTTTAATGGATGAGAAGTAACAGATCTGTTTCATTGGTTTAAACTGTGAAAATTCCTGGTTTGCTGGGATAGGGTGGGCATTTTTTCTGTTGATAAACCTGGTTGGATATAGTATCAGATTTAACTAATTTAGATTAAATCGGTTTATTGAACTTCTGTCCCAAATCCCCTCCAGATACAAGTTAACTCACAGTCCCCCAGCATCCCAGGATGTATTGTACCTCCCCAGCAAATCCCCCCTTACAGGTTGGGTGGGCTTGCCTTGGCCCAAGCTGTCTGCTCCAGCCCAGCAGGGAGACATGCTCTAGTGCTCCCCAGCTTCTGACCTGAGCCACTGCAGGCATGTGGCTGCATTTCTGGAATCAAAAGTGAATGTCTGTTCATCTTTTTATTGGTTCAATCTACGCAGCCCAGACTAAACTGTGAAGACTGAATTGATTCAGCCTTGGGCTTTTGACTGTCTGAACTTAGCCACATTGTCCAGTGCATGATGGAGTAACCTTATTCTGCAGCATCCCATGGAATAATTGAATAAGGTAGTGCTTGCCATATGAGTAGAGTTAGAAGAATCTGGACCAAAATACATTTTGGGAGACTGTGTGTTTATGCTTGTTCATTTCCTGTAATTTAATTTTCTAATTGTTTTACCCAAGTTGAGGAATTTTTATTTATATTCACTCTGATAATTATAGTCTCTGCCTCTTAAAATACTGATGTCACTTGTGTGGTTAATCTTAAACTAAGATATGTGTTACACCTGACATAATAGATTTCCTCATGCTTAAGCAATAAGACAAAGAGTCAACAGGAAGACTGGAAGTCCATTAAAAATGAACCCAAAGAGTCCATAGGATGTGAAACAGCTGGGACAAAGTTAAGGGTGTAAACCTGGCCAGGAAGTTAGGTACTTTGTTACTGAACAGGACCAATACACTATGCTTATAATGTGGAAGACAGATAACTAAGAAATAGAAGGATGAAATTAATTTTGAAACTAATATTCCAGGTATTGAATGCATGCAGAATAGGAGGGGAGTCACTTCTTAAGGAGTGCCTTTCTGGGGTTGTGGTGGTTAGGAAACAAAAGAGAAGAGCGGTAATGTTGAAGAGAGGTTACAGGAAATATGATAGAGGCAAGTATTTTTGTGGATGATGTCTTTTATTGGTAATGTATTGACAAACTGTGTTTATATAATGCCTAACACAATAAGGGCCTCCTGGGGATTTTGGTGTATAGATACTACTGTCAAAAAATAAAAGCAAGGTGGTTTGGACTGGTCAGAATATGACCAGGAATTCTAGATATAGATTAATATTTCAAACTGTACCTCCCTGGATTAACACACATAGATGTTTTCTGTCATGGTTGAGCCATAACTATGACCTCCCACCAGTTTCCAGAGTGGCCAGATTTAATGGGTGATAATAGATGCTCTGAAAGGAGGCACAACAAACTCTGCAAATACCACTTGTTCGAAGAAAAAGTACTTTTTTGTCACCCATAGACATTTATGAAAGAAATACCTGATAATTGGAGGAAAGGGAACGTAGATATTTCTGGCTGCCATAAACAAAAGTGCCTGCAAAACAAGTCAGACAGCTTGGAGTACTGAAACATTTATAACAGGAGGGTACAGCTCTTGGCTTTCTGCATTTAGGTAGTTGCAATCAATTTGCCAGAGAGCCTACCATGAATTGTAACAGGTTTTAAAACAAAGGGATGATGCTGCAGTATGGTGTGTGGGTTGAGAGCTCTGATTATTGTGCCTGGAGCCCACTTTGCTCCTTTTTCACCACTAAGGTTTTTTTCTATTCCACTCAGCTATAGCAACAAGCAGTTCTGTACTGCTCTAGGCTCACTATATACATGCAGAGAGGCTGCTCCAATGTGCTGTAATTACAGCGCATTGGAGCAGACTTGATTAATCAAGTCTGTTAGAGCATTGTAATTACCATGCTCCAGCAGACTCCAGCGTCACGTGTATCAGTGTCCCCGCACTGAAAAATGGAGGTGGGGTGTTTTAACTAAAGATTATTCAACAAGCTTTAGTTAAAGTGCCCCTACCACCATTTTTCAGTGCAGGGACACTGATACAAATGACACTCTGGGCACTTTAATTAGAAGCCCCCCCTGGAGCATGTCTATAAATGCCCACTACCTCCTGAATCAGTTGTCACCCCTCTAGTGCTAAGAGGACATAAAGGGATTAAAACCTCTAGTAAATCTGCAGATAGACACACCCAGCAGTGGGGAATCCCATGCAGAGCCAGTTTCTTCAGCACCTTCCCCGCAGCCCTCCTTGATTGCTAAATGTGTCAGGAGAGAGGGAGGAGTAACTGGGAACAACTCCCAGGACGCTAGGAAGCTGCAGAGGTTTCATGTGATGCACTAGGAGAGCAGATTCCCATTGCCCGGCAATTCTCCATTTTTCAGTAGTGGGGCACAGACAGACATATATCCCTGAATCCCTAGATCCATGGTTTCAAGGGCAGCTACACAGACAAGGCAGCCTAGGGGGAGCAAGGGCTGAGAAGGCAGGAAAACTGCTCAAGCAGCTACTGCCAGCTGCTGCTGTACTTCACAGAGAATGCTCCTTTCCATTAACCCTTGCAGACCTGCCCCTGCCCAACCCTTGTACCGAGGTTCAGCAGAGGGGAGAGGGCTTGTCCTTAGAGCAGAATGTGGTTCATGGAGTTGTGAATCCTAGCATTGGAGTTGAGGAAATGAGTCTTCCTGACATTAGTGAGTTAGATCAAGCTTCAAGTGCTGAAAATGTAACCAGGGGTGTAGGTTGTAGCCATGTTGGTCTAAGGACATCGGCAGATAAGTTTCCTTGGATAAATCTGATATATTTTATTAGACCAACTCAAGTAGTTGGAAAAAATCTTTGCAAGCTTTTGGGTATAAAAACCCTTCATCTGGCTGAGGAAGCATCTGCAGATGGTCTTTGGTCTTCATGGATGGAATAGTAAAGCATCCAGAGGCCAGTAGATAAGCAAGCCAGTCAGTTAAAATGTAAATTGAGGTGATCAGTAGGTGAGGGACAGGTGGAGGGCAGGGCGGGGAAGGAGAATGAATGTAGCTGTAGTCAATGGATGAGGAGGGGTGGGGGAAGGGAAAAAGAATAGCTGGTAAAATGTGGAGGGTTTACTTGTGGAGTCTGATGTTAGGCAGGTTATAATGTGTCATAAATCCAATGTCTATATTTAGTCCAAGATCATCATGGAAGGGCCACATCTTCCTCCCTAACCAGAGCAAATGCAGTGAGTGAGCAGCTGCTGGGCCAAATACTGCAGGCCCAGAAGACAGGGCTCAGCCTGGATGCCATCACCCCAGCTGTTTACTACAGCCCTGCCATCACCCCTGGGCAACACACTGTGGATGGTACCTTCTCAAACATGGTCCAGAAGTAAAAGCCAATACACCCATGGCACCAACTTTGTAGACTCATGAGGTGA